TAATCTAATTATTTCTGTTGTGTATGAGCAAGATTAGATAATAAGATTTATGTTAGAATTTATATTTGATATCAGAGCCACTTTGTCTATGCCTTATTTTTGTGTATTTGGTTTTGCTCAGTTAATTTGATTTTTTAAATTAATATTTAGTGTTTTATAAATAAAAATAGAGTTAAAAATCATATGAAATAAAAATTTCTCGCATTTTTGTACAAAAATAACAAATTTTTAGACAAAAATAACCAAAAAAAAAAAACATTGAGTTTTTATACTCGGTCAAAATTGGGTCAAAGTGACCCGGTTGAAGATTGTTATTCTGGTTTTACATCTTTGGTTCTATAGTTTTCGTGAATCACGTTTGGATTTCGGAGTGTCATTTGGATTGGACTTTTGTTGGCAAAGAAAGAAATCAAAAATTGCATAAGATAAGGAATTGAAATCCATGACCACCTACATGAATGGGTAATATTTTGCCAATTGAACTAATGATAATTTTATGACATCTGATCAGATTATTTATTATTATTCTTTGATTACATGTATTAACTTATGTATGTAATATTAATATGATTAATTTGAATAGTTAATTATTTCATATTATTGTTTATGGTTAATTATGATAATATAATAAAGAATATTTAGTGATCTTTATAATTTAACTAATTAAAGCTTAGCCACAACAACTTTAATTATTTAAATTATATATTAAAAGCCTCTAAATCACATAAGGTAGATGATATTAATTGTAATTAGTCATATATAATATAATATATATCATCCCACATAAATTTCTATTATAATTTGTATGATTAATTGGGATAATTTATATTTCTTTTATTTGCCTACAGGGATCAAGAAATATAATTTGATAGTTTTATCATGAGGTTTATATGAATTTAATTGAATTAAAATTTAAGCCCACAGACAAGTTTTAAGTAGCTAAATTCATAATTGTTTGAGTAAGACTTACGTTGATAAAGCATGATATATTATCTTTGCCTCAAATTTTGATGATAGGCATATATATTGAATATTTTTGTAGCTATACATCTATTGGTGTAAATGAGTCAGGCCAAGGCAGACTTTAGCCTAAACGGGCTAGGCTTGTGTAAATTATTTCAAGCTTAGCTTGACTTGTTAGCCTTATACAAGCTAAATTATAAACTTGACTTGGCTTGCTTTATTAAAATACAAGGCTAGGTCTGGCTTGTCAAGTCTACCAAGCCTTCGAAAATGGCATATTGCGCTCCATAAAATATATGTTATTATTATTTTGTTTCTTTTGTTTGTTAAAATTGATGGAATATATTTTCTTTCTATGCACACAACAACCTAAAATATTAACAATTTTGTTAGAGTATAATATAAACCATTAAAAATACTTTCACCCAATACCTTAAGGTTTTGGGTTGAAGTGGTTCTTTCCATGGTATCATATTGGATGAGGCTACATTAATGATTTTATATATCTCAACAATTTTAATTGTGTTGCTAGAAATAAAAAAAAAATGGAAAAGAAGTCGAATGCCTAATTACATTAAAAAAAAGAAATATATTCACTTGTATTAAAAAATTCTACTCAACAAAAATGATGATTACAAAAGCCAAAAGTTAAAGACAATAAAATGTTCAACAACATCATCAAAACTTTATTTTGTTGAATGAGGACTTACTATTAGCTACAAAAGTCTTGAGAGTTTATGACGAACGATAGATAGTTTGGAAGGGAAGAGAAGTTAAGAACGGAGCACAATAGTAGCAAAACTTGGCGAATAAGGGAATCAGCGAGAACGACGAAGGAATTTAAGGTTAAGAAAATATGTGTTTGTCAAGTAAGAAGGGGGAAGATTGCGAAAAATTAAAAAATTATAAGAAATTATTTTATTAAAAAAATAAGATATTGTTTTATTGAAAAAATAATAATATTAATTTATTTAAAATAATAAGTATTGTATTAAAAATAAAATAACATATTATTTATTAAAAAATACGAGCCGAGCTTGGAGGCCAAGCTTGCTATAATCGGCTTGTGGCTTGATTTCTAAATAAGCCTTTTAATGAGCTCAAGCTTGTGATATTTTTAAAACGGGCTAGGTCAAAGGCAAGCCACGTTGCAGGCACCTAACAAGTCGCGCTCGGCCCATTTATACCCCTATATACAGCCTATAAATTCCATTGATATTTTAAAATTGAAAAGGGATAATACCCTATTTGAAAGGAAATGATTCTATTGACATTAGGATATATGGACATTGATTATACTATCAGGAAACCTAAACCATCAACAATTAAGAAGAACAGTGAGCGGCTATAAAAAAAAAGAACAGTGAGCCAGAAAAGGTGGATCTATACGAAAAATGGGAAAGATCCAATCCACTTTGTATGATGTTTCATTAAGACTAAGATATCAGCTAACATTAGGGGTTCCTTGAAAAAGTATGATAATATGAGAGTACGCCTGAAGTTCATTGATGAATAATGAGACTTCAGGGAAGGCATTGGTTAGTACCCTAATAATGAAGTTTTCTTTCATGAAGCTCACTACTTTGAGGGTTGTGCGTGAGCACATCATGCAGATATGGGACATTGCAGCTCAGTTGAAAACTCTATAGGTGGATATATCTGACTCTTTTCTTATCCACTTTATTTTGAATACTCTCCCAGCACCATATGGTCCCTTTAAAATCTCCTTTAACACACATAAAGACAAATATTCTATCAATGAAACTCATGACTATATGTGTTCAGGAAGAGGGAAGGCTGCAATTAGCATAAGGAGATAATTCTCTGATGACGATTGAAAAAAAGGATAATAAGAAAGGCTGTAAGAACAAGGGAAGCGGAAAAATGCTACCCCAAGCTGGAATTAAGAAAGAATCCAAGTGTTTCTTCTGTAAATGAGATAAGGACTCTAAAAGCTAGCTAGTCCAAAGTAATAATCTGGCACATGACACAATCAGATACACCTAAGAACAACACATCAATACTGCCTTCGGTTCCGAGATATGAGGTTGAGAGAGAAATATTAGATCGGCTGTTTTAAATTATCTTCAGCTTACTCTAACAGTTTGGATACCAAAATCGGGAAACCAGAAAGTCGAAGGCATAACCTAGAGCCTTGAGTAGCTGAGTTACCCCGACCAACGAAGCACGGACACGTTCTGACACGCGTCGACACGTGGTCAATATTTTAGGACACGTTGACTATCCCGACACGCGATTTTGACCGTATCGGACACGGTCAAAGGGTAGAAATGTAAATTTTTTGAAATTTTTATAAAATTAAAATAAATTTGAAAAAAATGGGAACCCAACTTGACGGTGTTTCCTGCGGCTCCGGCGGAGAACAAAGCAGAACGCCACCACCCCACCTCCATTTCCATACTCTCCGGCAACGTTGACATCGACGATGGGACCATACCATCCTTCGAGCATGAGAAGAAGAACACAACGCTACTGAAAGCTCAGATTTTGAGCAAAGAGCAAAGCACCGGAGAGAAGATGAAAGCGAGCAAGCAATGAGCATGTATTGAATAGGAAGTGGATCTGAACAGACAATGAGCAAGCTCAAATTTTGGACACGAAGGTGAAAAAATGGAAATGGATCTGAACAGGAAGTGAATCTGAACAGACACCGCAAACAAGACGAAATTGAACCGTGTGCGTTTTCTACTCTTTTTTTTTTGTTTCTTTTTAATTTTAATTTTTTATCTCCCTTATTTATTGCTTTCCTTATTTTTCTTTTGGGCTTTTTTTAATTCTGATTTCTTTTTGGTATATTTTTCGTATAGTTTAATTTTTGATTTATTTTATAGTTTAGAATTTTTTAATATATAATTAACTTAGCTTAATTTGTATGTAAAACAATTTCTAAGTACAATGTAATTAATTTATTATGAGTTGTTACATGTATTGAATATAAACTGTATTATATTTATTAAAAATATTATTTAATATCAAAACGTGTCCTAACATGTCAAAATCTAACATTTTTTAGAAATAACGTGTCGCCGTGTCGTGTCGTATCGTGTCCCGTGTCCGTGTCTGTGTCCGTGCAACGTAGACCCCGACTATACAAGATGAAGATAAGGGTAACCTTGAAAAAATGCATCCCAATATCTTGAGTACTTAAGCTATTCGGCTGGGGGGGTAAAAATTATAGTTGTATAGAAGTATGATGAGATGTGGTTAAAAATTGAAAAGATTCAAGCTTGGAGCAGAGCTTAATCCAAATTATGCAAACAAAGGATCTCGGCTATCATAAGCCGGATGAAAATGTGGTCTCAAAGACTTTATGCACAATAATAGCTCGGACAACCAAGCTATTGGGCTAAGGGACAACTGTTATGAACCTATATAAGGCCTATATATCTAAAAGCCCAACAAATGGCAATCACATGACAACTGCGGAAGAGAGCAATTGAGCTTATGAGTAAGAGGCCTAGAACTCACATACCCACAGGTAAAATCCTATAAATAGGAGATAAAGCTGACAGATATGACTTAATCTCTCTCTTTAACTGTTATGTTGTCATTGTGCATACAGACAATCCTTTTGACTAACGCCGTTATAGTTATGTACAGTGATTTGCTACCTCAGGTTATCAAATCTATAGATACTTGGAGAGTGTACCAGGTCATAAATTGACCTACTAGCTTTTGGCTAGACACTTCTATCATTCAGACAGAACAGCGACAATGGAGATTTGAATCAAATTGTTTGGCATGCACATGATATTCCAGACACTATGGATGATATTGCTTATGTTATTTATGAAATTTTTATAAAATATACTAGAACATGGTTAGTTATGCGTTAATTTATGTAAAAATTTCATGATCAATATATAATGAGTTTTCTTACATCTAATAGCTGAATGAATTACATTACTATTAATATTGCGCTACAAGTCATATCTACGTTTTGCAATAAACTAGAGCATGCAGAATCAGTTGGAAAACACTTGGAACAATTTCATATAGACAAAAGGCATATGTATATGGCAGCGACCTCAGGGGATTGGGTTGAGGCTTCAAAGTATGATAAAACTCATCCAAACTGGGTATGTACTCCTTTGAGTGCTGGTGGAGACACAGCACTTCACATTGCAGTGAGCATGGAACAATTCACTTTTGTAGCAAAGTTGCTGGAACGTGTGACCTTGCATGAATTGGAAATTCCCAACGCAGATGGGAATACAGCCTTTTGTATGGCAGCTATTTCAGGAAACGTGAAAATTGCTACCATTCTATTTAACAAGTACCCATCGTTGGTAAGGATTAGAGGCCAGAAAAACATGTTACCCATTCAGTTGGCATCTTCTGCTGGACACTCTCATATGGTGCAACTTTTGTTTGAAAAGACTCCACAAGACATGGGCTCTAATCTACCCTCCCCAGACACAGTCATGCTCTTTTTCTTGACCATTACCAACAACATTTACAGTAAGTTGGGATTCTTCCACAGTTCTCTAAGGCTTTGATATAACTTCAAGTATGTTTGGAACATAAAATTTATGAGCTGATTTGATTTATAAATATATTTCTTTTGGAAATTATTAAATAGGAATTGATTTGATTGATTACAATTAGTTTCTAATATAATGAAATTTCAAATAAAAAAAAAAAACAAAAGACGTTAACGCTAATTCTTTTTTTTTTTTTTTTGATAAACCACATGTATCTTCCACGGAAGGTAATTCTGTTTGGGATGGATATTCTAATTTTTTTTTATTCAAACATACATATATAATGTTACTTTTATATGTAAAACTAGTTAAAAAGGTTTTTTCTGAAAATGAAATATTTACACGTTAGTCCAAACATAACCAAAGTGGTAACGTGCTTATAAGTGAATTCCAGTTTTCTTTCTTCTTCGGTTGATGTTGAAATTTAAACTATTCTAATGACTTATTCATTGTTTTCAATTATTTGTTGGTCTTCACAGGTGTTGCATTGAATTTGTTGGATAGATATCCAAAACTCGCAACCACAGGAAACGAAGAGGGGCTAACCGCCTTGCAAGTGCTTGCTAAAATACGTAAACTTTAGCACTCTGACCTTATGCTCTTGTACAATAATTCAATTTTCTTATTTAGATATACTGTTCATTTTACATATTACAAGATTTGAGTTTAGAAAAAATTTCATTCCTTCCCGAAATTCGAAAAAAAATAAAGAACCTTTAGTGTTATTTTAATTTAGTTTTAAAAAAATTTGCTCTCATCCAAGCATGTACTGTTGTACCTCATTAAAAATAAATAAATAAATTTATGAATTAATAATTATATAATTGAAACTAATATAATTATTTACATCCACTGAACCAGCCTTTTACGAGGATGCTCCAGCAGGTTATCGAGATATTATAAGTTGCTTGTTTAAGGGCATGAAAGATGAATTTCTGAACTCTGTAAGAACTTCAGAAGCAATGTTTGCTGCAGCAAAATCAGGAAATGCTATCATTCTAGAATATATTTTAAAGTACAATCCAATTTTGTTGATGAAAGTTGATTCCAATGGACAAAGCATACTTCACATTGCTATTTTATATCGACACAAATCTGTATACCGACTAATAATGAGCAAGGGTGCGTACAAGAATGTTATACTGCAGCTGGTTGATTGTGATGGAAACAATGTTCTTCATTTAGCTGGAAAGTTGTCTGCTGAAGAAAGATTTGGATCATGTCCAGTTCTAATTTGCAGTGAGGAGATGTGGTTTAAGGTGTGCATCTACCCTACACTACAGTACTATTAGCATCTTCGGTATACAATTAATTCTCTTACTCTTTCATTTTTTTAAATGTCCTTTTTTTTTTTTTTAACCTATATATAGGAAGTGGAGAGGATAAGTCCACCTGCATTGAGAAGCATGGAAAATAAGGTTGGTTGGACTCCAAAAGAATTATTTTACAGGGAACACAGAGAGTTAACTGCAAAAGCTATATCTGAACTGAACGGCATTGCAAGTAATTTCCTAGTTGTGGGAACTCTTATTATGACGTTAGGGATAACTGGAGGTCTCACCATTCGTACTAATAATATTGATCCAAAGACTCCTATTTTTGTGCTCAAGATATGGTACATTATATTTATTCTATCAATTGGATTTGGATTAAGCTTCTGTGCACTATCAATGCTCCTCTTCACTTCAGTTATAATCCCTTCAATCTTGAAGCCAAAAGGAGGTTATTTCTGCTCCCGGCTAATGATGAGGACTATGATGGGGTGTTTGTCACTGTTTGCATCTGTGCTAATCATGGGTAGCGCTTCTCTTATATCTGGTGCGGTTTTGGTCTACAGCTTCTTGCCCGAGTGGGTCTTGCTTGTTATTGCTCCGCTTATTGGTATTCCAGGGATCTTGTGTTGTCTCATTTACAAACATTCTTTGCATTTTCAAATACACTTACTGCTAGCCTTTTGCGAGGAAATTGCAATGAGAATATTGTCAAGAACGAGGATTAAGTGGGTTCCTTTTTACTTTATTTATTAAAAGTAGGGTTTTATAAGAGTTATGTCGAAGGAAAAGTGATCGTGTTATGCTATAGAGATTCGTTTTGCGTGCTGGAGTATTTTTTTTTTTTTTGGTTTCAAAAATTGCGAGTCCCACAAAATGTTGTATGTGTAAGAAAGTTGTTGTAGTCATGTTAAATGATAGATGCAAAACCCTTAAAAGCATCATGTAAAATAGTTCTTTCGAAAAACTGAAGCATATATATGTTGTTTGTTTCGTTTTGCAGTTTCGCAATTATCGTTTGATCAATTGATTTGCCTAAGATAGATATGGCTCATGTATCTTGTAATATAACTTATAAGCTTATGTTACTCAATGAATAAGATGGTGGGTCCACAGCATTGCAATGATTCTGTTAGAGAAATAATATAGGGGAACGGTTATATTGACAAACAAAAAGTTTATAAACTCTAACAAAAACTATACAATGTACTAAGGGTAGTATATGCCAACACACAATGTACTACCTATAATACAAATGTAGTTTGTAAGTTTGTAAACAAAAAACTTTGTCAATATAACTTTCCTCATAGTATAAACCATTAAATAAAAGCCCTCACCCACTAGTTGAATTGGTTTCTTTACATGATATCAGAGTCTCGTGTCTCAGGTTTGATTCTCACCGTCTCTCACTTTTTCTTGTGAAATTTTCTTAGCATAGGTAAGTGGACATGTACATTCTCCACCTTTCAAGTCCAGTGGGCTCTAGTGTAAGGGAGCATATTAAAGAATAATATAAACCATTAAAAAGCAAGAAACTGTCATCTGCATAAAAGTAATCGAATACTTTTTGCAAAGTAATCGAATACTTTTTGGGTCTGAAAAGTATTCAAATACCTTGTGAACAGTAATCGAAGAACTTGAAAAAGCAATCGAATACTCCTTTTTGAAGTATGCAATGTGGATAATATTCATCAGTAATTAAGCGTTAGTAATAATAATCTTTTTTTATAAAACTTCATGACTCTGTATGGTATTTCCTTGATGCTAATAGTTTCTGTTTGCTAATATTCATTGATGCTGGCATATTGGTTCTTGGAACAAGTTTAGTTCTATCTTTATTAAGCTGCACCATAATAGTGAATTCTTGTTCATTACTTCATTATTTCATTATTTCATTAGAGCAAGTTTTAGATTATTTTATTTGAATAATCCATCCAGTATATGTGCCTTTTTTCTTATTTTGCAGTCCATTTTAAGAATAGATAAAGGATTCAATAGAGGGATTAATAGTTGTTAGAAATACTATTATTACTATGGATTTTATCAGCGAGCCATCAATAATAGAGGCAAGGTTACAAGGAGTGGTTGGTGTTGGAGCTGCATCACCATTGCCTCTTTGCTGTAGAAGGACAAGCTCGGCTATGATGGCTTAAAGTAGTCTCTCACTGCCATGGTTTTGAAGAACTGGATGAATTGAGAAGATCTACCATATAATTGAAACTAGGTCTAGGTGCTATATGATGTACAGGAAATCAATATGTGAGACTTTGGGATGAAGAGATTTGACCTCACAATGGGGTTGATCAAGGAAGTGGAATGGAGCAACATGCAACACTTGCAGCTGTGCCTGCTGTGTTTAATATGAAAGTACAGGTCTTCTGTTACTTGTTTGGATGTTCTTATAGGGTAACCGCGGGCATGTTACATAAGAATGCATACAATTATATATTTCTATATGATACTAGTCCATTGCATATAAACGTAACACTAAAATTTTTACTTGTGTCCTATTATTTTCTGCACTGCTATGTTCTTGGATATGACTTTCAACTTACAAGAGTTTGCTATTCTACTTTCCTAGTTATAACCCGCAGTATACTCTAAATGCTTAACATCAAAAGCACAATGGTGTGATCTTGACAGTTTGCCTAACAAGATTGGTGGGTCACAACATTGCAACCCATTTATTCCTCTGATTGAGCAATTTTTGCTACTACACGTTGAATAGCAGCAAAGCCACTTAAGTCAATAAATACTAGTAGTAAGCACCCCTGAAACTATCTTGGTCATACAATTAACTTCAGTCATGGCTTCCTCAGTACACATAACCAGTTTTTATTGACACTTTGCCTAACAAGAATGGTGGATCACAACATTGCAATTGTTCAAGTTATTTTAATTACCTATTTATTCCTCTGATAGAGGAATTTTTGCTAATACATGTTGAAGAACAGCAAAGCCATTGAATTTCAACGAATACTAATAGTAAGCACCCCTGAAACTCTCTTGGTCATACCATTAGCAATGTTTGGGGTAAAAGCTGTCTTAAGACAATCCCTTAGAGGCATATTTTATTGGTGTACAGTCATGGCTTCCTCAATTCACATAACCAGTTTTTCACAGCTTTACCTTTGGCAACAAAGCATCCATTGTTCTTCCTATCAATCCTCAGTGGACCTCTCATATTCACCATCATCGCTTTAACCAAGGCTTTGACTGGTGATTCTCCTCTAACAATGCTATGCTTTCCTGACCCACAAACAACTGTAATTTCTGCAGTAATTCCACAATTTGAATCATTCAACCTTCGTTGCATCTCCTCCAACCAAAGTAACATAATTAAATAGGATGATCCCAAGTGAAATCCATGCAAATCCAATTTTGCCTCCGAAGAACCCCACACCATTACCTCTTCCAAAATCACAGAAGACACTAGTAACTCCCTAACTACCATACCCTCCCCTCCTTCCAAGCTACCAATCAACTCTTCAATTGACAATGGGAAGTCATGCAACTCCATCATCATCCTCATGATCGTTGGGCAAGAATTTGATACAGAATTGTAGGTTCTGATTGAGAAGGGAACGCCCGAATTCCTCATCCTCTGAAGCCAAGAAACCATTTCCACATGCTTCCCATGAATGCCAAAAGCTGAAAGAACCATGCTGGAACAAACAGTATCAATAACGAACCCACTTTTCTCCATTTGATCCACAACTCTCTGCAAATCTTGAAACAAACCCAATCTTCCATACCCATAAATAATAGATTTCAACTCAAAAGCCGAAGGCTGAAGCCCTCCATTATCTCTCAAATCTCCAACCAAATGCTCAGCCTCACGAGGCCTATTCATTGCACACAAGCCACTCACCATATACTCATAAGCCCTACGTTTAATATAAACAGAGGATGAAGTGCAAAGAAGCTGGTTCAGGTAACAATAAGCAACATCAAACCCTCTTTCTGAACCTCGCTTGGAGTGTGAGTCAACGAGTTTACCGTAGAAAAGAACAAGGTCTCGCTTGCGAGATTCTAACTTGGAAGTGGCCTCAGAAATGAGAGATTCAGCTTCATCGTAGCGTCCCTGTTTATGAAGAAGCGCAGCCAGATCAGCCACAATGGAAGGGTTCCAACTGAACCAAGGTGCTTGGCTGATTCTTGCATAAAGCTGCGAAATTTGCAGGATTATAAGATGACCCTTTTGCTACAAACACAGAAAAAACAAAAAAACACAAACTTACTGGGAGGGCAAGAGATGAGAGTTGTGGGTGGGAGGTAGCAGGAGAGAGAAGGTGGGAGAGAGTGGTGAGAGAAACGGATTTGGATGAACCTTGTACGAATCTTCGAATCAAGTTGTCGGTGGCGGAGGAGGTGGTGGCCAGCTTTGTCAGAAAGCGTTGCCCTTGTTTGGTGAGAGTGCAACTCTCCATGGTAACTCGTGGCTTCCACTTCCATGATAGTGCCTCAGGATGACACTGTTGCCCCAAACCCAATCTCACCATTATCATCATCCTCAGACTTTGCAATTCAATTGCGACTGCTTTATCTCATAAATCTTTTATGGTTTGTATCTCACGCATCAATTTTTAAACGTTACATCGATTATATTGTTTATTTTTATTTTTATCTTTGTACCGTCATGATGTTCCAAATTTAATACTTTATATTGATTTTCACCTTTGTATGATCATGATTTCCTATATTTAATGCTTTCACTTTAAATATGGAGAATCATGATCATACAAAGATGAAAATAAATATAACCGTCGGATCAACATAATCGATTTAACGGTAAGATTGATTGGTAGTCACTTGGTAGTAACACAACTTGGTTGTCACAATATCCTTCCCCTCGATCATTAAAAAATTAAAGTTATAATACTAGGTTTAAAGTGTATTTAATCACTTATTACCCAGGAAAATAAAAAATGTATTTAATCACTTATATCCAAGTTTCTTTGGTAAAGAATTTTATTTGAGTGAATATTGTATTCCTTTATTTTTAAATGAAAAATGTCATTATGCATAGTTAGAAAAAGAATAATAAATAAATAAAATGATGATATTACTTTCTTTCTTCTTCCTTTTTAGAAAAATTTCTTTTAATCCCTACAAGAAAAAAATTAGCCTCGAGTTCTTAAAAAATTTAAAGTATACCCATTTAGTTAAAATCGTGATCTGTCAAAAGATCCATATTAGTCCTTCAAAAGATTAAAATGGATCCACTTTGAATTTTATAAGGATCAGATAACTACTTTTTTTATAAGGGACTAAAGTAAGCATCATATTTTTTTGTTAGGGACCCAAAAAAAACTTTATTCTATTTTTTCTCCCTTAGACGTATTGCTTTAATTGTGTAGCAATTGATAATTTAATAATAATGGAAAAAATGAAAATAAAGTGATTGAGTGTAAAATTCGGTCAAGTGCACTATGTTCTCCCGCGAGAACATAGTGCAATAAATTTTACAATAGTGTTCTCTCGGGAGAACATAGTATAATTTTTACTATAATTATGTTCTCGCGGGAGAACATAGTGCACTGGATCGAATTTTACATCCAGTCACTGTACACTTACTAAATCCAATAATGATATATGCTTTCGATCAAAATTAAACTATTTATGCTAATAAGTTATAATCTTTGATACCTCATTTATTCTTATGTAAGGTTATTTATTAGATATTTATTAATTGCTAATTATATTTTAAAAAAATTTAAACATTATCATGAAATTTATTATTAAATATTTGATGACTTTACATACTAAATTTAATGGAGAATTCTAAGTTTTTTTTAGGGTTAACTTTTTCTGCAGTTACTACAGATAAATTATCTACAGTAATTCTAATACAACGTTATTTTGGGACAAAAATCATTGTATTTTTGTAATTTTAATTTATTTTAGGATTATTATAGTCATTATAATTATAATTTTTTAATATTCCAATCTCAAAATAACGTTATTTTGAAAATAACATAAATAACTTAGGTGCAATATAAATCATTTGGTATTTGATTGCTAGAGTTGAGGATTTAACTTGAAAGGTTAATCCGTCAAAACAGAATGGCTTGAGTTGTATATTTCAACATGACAATCCAACATAACCTGCCTTGAATAAGCTGGGACCTTAGGGGCAGGGCAGATAAACCCATGGATCAGGATTCCTTTTTTCTTCTTTTAATTCATCTTCTCATCTTCTTATGTATTATATCATTTTGATTTGATATTTTTATATGTTGTAGAATTATTGCAAAAGTGCAACATCTATAGCGGTCTCCCATGGTTAGTGCACTATCATCACAATTGAAGATCAAATTGAACAAAATAAAAGGACAAACATTTACACGCAAAATACTATCATGAAAATAATTTCGTAATAATAATATTTGTATAAATTTATATACCAACACAAATTTCTCATTTAATCCCACAAGTCATTAGATAATGTGGAGATCTCAATATAACTTATCTATTTTTTAATATTAAATCATACATTATAAAAAAAATATTCTTTTTAATTTAAATTTTTTAGGAGGATTGACCCGTCAACCTGTCTCAAAACAACTCACTCAACATTGACAATCAAACCGCCTTGACCTTTTTTTTCCGGCAGAGGCAGGACAAGACAATTGACTTCTTCTTTTTTTGGTAGAGGGATGATTGACCAATTTTGCTAACTCTACCGATTGTAAACGGGCGCTGACTTATATAGATTTTGCGCTAGGAAAAATTATAAAAATAAAAATTTACCTGGCTCAAAATCCAAATTAATAAGTGCCCATTGAGAATCGGTATAATTAGCAAAACCGATTGTCAACGGGCGCCGACTAATCTGGATTTTGAACTAGGTAAAATTATATAAAAAAAAATTAGCTTCCACTGACCCGATGATTTGTGAGCTAAAATTATATTCAATTATCGTATTTATTTATCAAAAAAAATTCAATTACAATTTAATCGCGATTTTATAAGACATATTATTTATAAATGAAACTAACTAATACATTTAAAACCAGATTATAATTTAAACATGCTATTATTTATAAACTAATTTATTACCCGTGCGATGCACAGAGCAAAAAAGAAGTAGGTTTGTTTGTCTCGTAAAAATTAATGTAAATTTTAAATAAAATTTATAAATAAAATTTCTAGGACACAATTATTAAAGAAATAATTAAAAGATAAAATAGATAAGAGATTTGCAACTTAATATTAAATGATGTCTATAATAGACTCTAAGAGTATTACATTGGTGATTCCAAAAATCTGCAACAGTAAATCCCTTGGAAGAGATTTCCAGGCATCTGTCTCTGTTTCTCAATCGTTCTCCGCTTTGCAGAAGATGAAGAATCATCAATTGAAAAAAGGTTCAGAAAAAAAAAATATCAGAAGGTTTCAGAAAATAACGAGGATTAAGAGAATAACATGTATTTATAAAAAAAACAAAAAAAAAAACTTCCTAATACATATAAATTAAAAGAAGTCAGTTGAAGTGTAGACATATGAATAATAAAAAATTTAATGACAAACATAATTTTGGAGTTACCCAACCCTAATTATCTCTTTGAGACGAGTTGGCTCCCTCCGGTATCCCCACGAGCTTCGACTCTTTGAGCCGGCTATAGGACTAATCCGGAGTGCGGGGGAACAGTGATGGCTGAAGGTTCAGCCCCCTTTACAATGCAGAGTGTGTCTCTTCTTTTTTTTGTTGAAGATGGTTTACCATAAATGTATTTTATTAAACTTTTTTTTTTCTTAATCAAACAAAGGAATAAATTGTTACCAAAAAAAAAATTAAAAGAATAAATATTTCCAAATTTCAAGTAATAAGCGAATTATTGTATATTAATTATTGCAAAAGATTAACTTTAGAAGACGAAGAAGAAAAACAAACACAAAAAAATTATACTATATTTCATAATATCATTTAATTAATGTTTAACCTCATGTTAAACATTAGATAATCATATACAATTGTTCAAACAAACGTCAAATAAATATTAAGATTGTATATTTTGTAACTGTTTAATAATTCTCAAATATATAGTTCAACAACATGCAGAACAATGTTTCTGTTACACAACTTCTTCCCCAGCAGCTCTATCCATTCATAACTTCCCTTTCTCTCGCAAGGTGTCTCCGACTTCAGAAATAGATCTAATTAAAAAAAATTGTTGGTATTAATGATATAGAATACAGAAATAATGTGTAGTAGAAAATTATAAACACACAGATAATGGGTAAGTACTTAACTCTTTTTCTATCTTAATCTTTTTATTATGACGGTTAACTGAACAATTAAAATATTCTTCCTTGACGACATCAGATTTTATAATCAACGGTAAAAACAAAGTGAGGAAAACATCAGCAATATCGACACTATCAGATGTTTGACTCTCATAATCCTGGTAAGACATTAAAATTGTATAAAATTATGAAATGTTTAACCCTCTAACCTTAAGTCGTTAACCCTCAATTCTTCCTTTGTATGATCAAGATTTTTTATAAAATCATATTTGGAATACATAATGCAGAAGAACAGCTTAAAAAAAGAAGAAGAAGAAAAACAGACAGAGAACAAAAAAAATATGTGCACAGAAGCCAATTACCAAATAGAAAAATGCAGTAACACATCAGCAAACTTTCCAAACAATAGAGTAATTTTTGGTTAGGTTTTGGATAGAGCAAAATAAGAAAAATATCTCATTTAAACAATAAAAAATGGAAACTAAATATGATAGCTAATCAATCCCTTGATTACTGCCCCATCACTTCCCATTCATATTAGGTAATTTTTTTTTTTTTATCCAATCGATCCAATGGATTGATTTTTCTAATTTTAGCCAATCAATCTAATTAATTGGTTTCATTTATTTGAGCCAATTAATCTAATTATTTAGTTTTCTTAATTTTCTCCATTATCATCAAATCTAATTTCATGACAATATTGAAATTCGAAATACAAAATTAGAATTCAAATTAGTTTAACATTTAAATTAAGGGAAATGATATTGTAACAATCAATTAGTTGCTACCAATGTTACTACCAATCAATTTCACCGTTAGATCGATTATGTTGATCCAACGATTATATTTATTTTCATCTTTTTATGGTTATGATTCCCCATATTTAATATTTCATATTTATTTTTCACCTCTGTATGATTATGATTTTTCATATTGAATGCTTTCACATTAAATATAGAGAATTATAACCATATAAAGGTGGAAATAAATATAACCGTTGGATCAACATAATCGATCTAACGGTAAATTTGATTGGTAGTAATATTGATAGTAACCTTAATTAGTTGTTATAATATTATATTCCACTTTTTTTTCTATTTAATCAAAATTGACATGTAACTTCCATTTTATATTTGTAAAATTAATATTATAGTTAGGGCACAATTATTTTATACTAACATAAATTATACTCTCAATTTGGGCTGATAATTTTCACTTATATCTCTTAACTTTGATTTATCAATTATGTGAGGCATTAGATATAAATAGATTAATTATCGAAATTAAGTATAAAACTTCTTAATTTTATAATGATGTAAATTGATTTTATAGCGTCATTTTAACATTTTGTTTATTTGGATTTGATTGTGTCATTTTAAGCATAATCTAGTATCCAATACTGCAAAGAACATTCTCCTTTCCTTTCAAATATGTTGAGCTCCATATATGTTGAGCTCCATATATATTTCCGCCAAAGGCGCATTAGGCTAGCGATTCTTATTGAGAATGACTTTTATTGCGATAAAATTTCATTTGATATTATCATTTTTTTATATAAATAATGAGATTATAAGAATTTGGACTTTGTAAAATGAGTAAAATTAGGAAAGACAAAACCTAATTTATATTTATATTAATAATAAATTCTTGAAATAAGAAAATAAATTATAAAAAAATAAGGAAATATAAAAAATAAGTCCACAAGATTTTATGAAATATTTTAAAATATAATCCAGATTTTATATAATATTTTTTTCGATATTATAACATTAAATTTTTATAAAATCTTACCCATTTAATATTTATTAGATTTGACACCGGTGTTAAAATAAAAAACTTGACACTAAATCTTAATCGTTCCGTTAATGAAATAAGGGACAGGATATACTTATTATCAAAAAAGTTTATCACATTTACAATCAATTTAATTATCGTTGATTTCCGTCAATCTAACAGTTATAATTTATTAAAAATTAATAATTAATTAATAAGTACAACATAATAATTTTCAATAAAGTATGACAGTTAAGATTTGTATCGCTGTCAAATGATTATATCAGATGATAGCGAAAAATTTATTATGCTCAAGGTCAACCACTTATTCAGTGGTTCTTTTTTCATAAATAAAAAAAAGAAAAAGTATTTCTCCAATCACCGAAAATAAAGTTATCTCTAGTGAGCTCAAAACGACGTCGTTTTGGGGTTATAAGATTAAAAAATTATAATGATAAAAACTAATATAACCTACAATATATTAAAATTACAAAAATATCTTGATTTTCTTTTCAAAACGACGTCGTTTTGGACTCACTTAAGATAACTTATCTACCTCGACCGGAAAAATCCTTTATCCGTAAAAAAAATTTATTTAATTTTTATTCTTTTTTTGATTTTTTTTTTTTCTCTCAATCTTTTATTTTGGAAAAGGAACACCGTAGTCCAACCACACCGAAAAACATCTCCAGATGAGAGGACAATCTTCGTTCGGTTTCTTAATCAGAGGGGAGAGACGGAGAGTGAAAAATAAAATAAATATTCCAGGGAAAATTGAAGGATTGAGGGAATCAGGAGGAGGATTAAGGTTACAAAGGGGAAGAGTGACACGTTAACACTCCCTGTGGAGCTATTTACTTTACGTGGGAATTCCACGATCATCTTCATCTTCATCATCTACAACACAACACAACACAACACAACCCACTGGTGTTGGTGTTGGTGTTGCTCTCTCAGACTCTCACTACTCAATTCGATCTACTTCCTCGAGGTATCCATTGACCCATTCATCAATCATCGTCTTCAACAATCGTTCCTTGACCAATTTTATTTTATTTTATTTTCTGTTCCCGTTCCGCAGGAATCGATAATCGATGAACAAGAGACCAAGAACCTGCGTCTACAAGAAGGTTCTCGATCTCTGGAATCGAGAACTCGGCGAGCTATCCGCCAGGAATTTCGCTCACCGTCTCGGCGGCTCCGAGGTTTCATAATCCATTCCACAACCTTCTAATTCTTTCCCCTCTTAATCTCAAACTATTAAATATTCACTCTTTTTCCTTCCTATAATGCTACTGGGGTTTTTTTTTTTTTTTTTTTGGATTGCGGTTAATTGTTGCGTTTGGTTTGGTTCTTGAGGATATTGAAATTGAAAATGTGGGCTTTATGGCTTGTTCTTGTACAGGGTATTTTGTTTTGGGTATCAGATTAAGGTAGTTTACCTTTAAAGATAATAACTAGGTTTCTCTTTATGTGAACGCGGTTTTATGTAGACATATGAATCTGAATGTGCCTATGTTCATAAGCTCAAATCTCTAACTAATCTCGTGTGTTTTAGGATATTGTCCTTCGGCTTGATGTATTCAGGAAGCTTGAAAAGCACAGAGGATGTGTAAACACCGTAAGCTTCAATGCAGATGGTGACATCCTGGTGTCCGGTTCTGATGATCGGAGGATTATTCTCTGGGACTGGGAATCTGGACAAATTAAGCTGTCTTTCCATTCTGGTCACAGTAACAATGTTTTTCAGGCAAAGATGATGCCTTACTCGGATGATCGAAGCATTGTCACTTGTGCTGCTGATGGACAGGTATATCCTTTCTGGAAAATCCTTCACTTTATGATAAGTATCATTCCTTTTCCATTTAAATGTGTCAACGGACCTTGTGCATCTTCCTCTAATATCCGTCACATTGTGATTGGGGTGGCCATTCCCATTCCAATTCTGTAACTTATTTGTTTGCCAAACATGTTCATCTACTTCTGAGTCAAGAGAAATATAATGCTGTTCTATTAGGTCAAATTTTACTAAAAGAATGGGTATTTCCTTATGCAAACTCTCAATTTCAGGTGAGACATGCTCAAATTGTCGAAGGTGGAGGAGTGGAAACTAATTTACTGGCCAAGCATCAAGGACGGGCTCATAAGTTGGCTATTGAGCCTGGTAGCCCTCATATATTTTATAGCTGCGGTGAAGATGGACTAGTACAGCATGTGAGTGATTGGTTTTTTGCTACTTTTAATTTTTTGTTGTTAATCTTTTAATCATCTCTCACTAAGCATTATTACAGTTTGATCTGAGAACTGGGGCTTCAACAGAACTTTTTACATGCCAGCCAATTAAGGATAGATGGAATTACATGCCAGTCATCCATCTCAATGCAATTGCAATTGATCCAAGGAACCCAAATCTATTTGCGGTTGCTGGGTCTGATGAGTATGCTCGACTTTATGATATTCGCAAGTATAAATGGGATGGATCAAGTGATTTTGGTCAACCAACTAACTTCTTTTGCCCTTCACACTTGATTGGTGATGAGCGAGTTGGGATAACAGGTTTGGCATTTTCTGAACAAAGAGAGCTACTTGTGTCATACAATGATGAGTTTATTTATCTTTTTACACAAGATATGGGTTTGGGACCAAACCCTGTTCTTGAGTCCTCCGTATCTATGAACAGTGATGGAAGTGAAGTAGGAAGTAGTCATGGATCTGCAGCTTCTCCATCAAACATGGATGCTGATGAGAAAATCACCCCACAAGCTTTTAAAGGACATAGGAATTGTGAGACAGTGAAGGGGGTTAACTTTTTTGGGCCTAACTGTGAGTATGTGGTGAGTGGATCTGATTGTGGTCGGATTTTCGTATGGAAAAAGAAAGGTGGTCAGCTTATTCGTGTCATGGAAGCAGATAAGCATGTTGTGAACTGCATTGAGTCTCATCCTCATACAATTGTTCTTGCAAGCAGTGGTATTGAGCATGACATCAAGATATGGACTCCAAAGGCCCTTGAAAAAGCTACGTTGCCCAAAAATATTGAGCGGGTATGAATTCTGTCTTCTTGAGATAATTATTGCTAGTCACAACTCAGAAGCATAAAATGATATTCTTAAATGTGGGTGATTCGTTTTATGTATAGAAAGATCTAGTCTTGTTTATAAATAGCTGACAGGGACTGTTTCTATAAAAACTTTATCCTTTTTTTTAAATAAAAAAATATAAGCACTCAAATAAATGACATGAAGCTATTGTCCAAAGCTATTATGGCCCTCATTCCTTCATCTGCCCCTGGCCAGCCCCCAATCTCTTCCAGTTCAAGAACCTAAAAGTCTGTTGATGTCATCCAGGCCATAAATCTGAACACCCTCGACTCTTATTAACCCATTACTATTTAACGAGTAAATCTTCCCTTGATCGGACTCTATTAATTTGATTATTTAGTTCAGGACAAAGTTGTGCTTTTCCATGCTTACACACTATCTAGTTCAGTAAGGCAGTATTTAAAATTTTTGGCTGAAAAGTGCAATGTGTGCTAGCAGAGTGATATATGAGGGGTGATTTATTGAAGGTTATGGTGGTTGAGAGCTGAGAGATTTCTGTTATTATGTGCTGGGCATGATGTTAAATCCTAGGAACTATCAAAATATGACTGCTGTGAGATTATGTCTTCTGTGATTATTATTATTATTTTTCTAAATTTTGTGGTTGTAGCTCATGACATTGGTGTAAAATAATCTTCGAAGGAAAAATTGTTTTTCTGAGTTCTCTGGCCAGTGCAGTTCATTTGGGGATTCTTGTTAGAGCCGTGTTTGAATTAATGGACTGGGCTGGAACTATTTGACCATGGTAACTGGGAAGTAGTCCAGGCATTAGCGTAGTTATGACCTAATAACTGTTTTTGTTGAAAACCAGTGTGAACCAGTCAGTTCTGCAGGAAACTTCTGAACCAGTATTGGGGTTAGATGGTTGGAATAGTTGACATTTGGATGATGTGGCAAGCTCATATGCTACCACCTCAGTGTTAGGCTGCATGATCTGTTTGTAAAATGAGTAAGACTGGCTTAGCTGTTTAAACATGCTGCCCGAAGGGAGTTGAGTGAAAGCCTCGTTGCCCTGCCACTAGATCTTTTCTTAATGCAAAGCATGATAAAGATAAACAATATCTACTCAATTGATTTTATGAAAGATCATTAAATACATTTTTAAATATTTATCTACCCAAAAATATTAGGCTGATTTGAAAACTGATAATAGAAGACTTTAATATGCTGGTCCACGAAAGTCCTAGAATAACTTGATTTTAACACCATATTTGTCTGTTAATGCTAATTGATAATGTAGAGAAGAATGGGTATTTTTGTTACCTGAGCTGTTTGAGCAGCAGAGGAACTAATTTCTCTGTTGTTACTTCTTTGAAGAAGGCTTTCATGTTTGATCACATTCATTGGTTTAATGTCGATGATGATTTCGACAATGATGATTCCACCGACGATGATTCCACCGACGATGATTCTGACGACGATGATTCCGACGACAATGATTCCAACGACGATGATTCCAAGGACGATGATTCCGACGACAATGATTCTGACGATGATGATACCGATGATGATATGTTTGATTTTGATGATGATTCCGGTGATAATATGTTTGATTCTGAAGATACTTCCGATGATGATGATGATGACACCGACATTGATGATGTTGATGATGATAATGATGACGGTGATGGTTGTGAAAATAATGATTGTATCAATGATTATGATAATGGTGACAACAATGTTGTTCATGATGATAATAATGATAATAATGATGACAATGGAAACTATGATAATTTTGCTGGTGGTTGTAATAATGCAAATTGATGAAGATTTTGTGTGTCCGACAGAAACCCAAGTCCAGGGGCTGGATGTACCAGATGGCTTCTCCTGAAGACCTGATGTTGCAATTGTTTTCACTTCCGAGACGGAGCAATAGGACAGAAAGCAATGGAGAAAACTCAGCTGCAGATCGAGAACTTCTAGACTTGATATTGACATTCAATGCTAATAGTGACAGCTCTAACGATGACGATGATGATGGAGACACAACCAGCCAGGAGGATTTGTTCGCTTGAGTTACACACCGTCAAAACTAGGGCCTTCGAAAAGAATGGTAGCAACTGTGTATAATATAGGATTAACGATAACTTTTGAGTGGAATCTTGCATACTTTGTCTAAACATTATTCTCTATACGACTGCCCTTAAATTTATTTGTGGTGATTTTTAATGATTTTTGTTTATTCTGCTCACAGGTTTTGAGTTATATGTTATTATGTCACGTATATTGATTCTTTGTTCTGAGTTATCGCGTAGAAACTGACAATGTGCACTTAACTAGCATGTGTGCTTTCCAAATAGTTGATGGATTGAAGGGTTCACTTGAACTGTTTTGCAACTAACGAACTTGAGTTGGTGTTTTACCTTATCACAGGGTTTTTTAACAAACGACCAAATTCCAATTTAAAATTCCTGCAAGTTTTACTATATCTTCACCAAGTTGAGGAAATTTAACCAGACTTGATATATGCGATACATCAAACACAGTTGAAATATTAAAAGATTGATTGGAACATTTTATAACTAACGTATAAATGGATTTGGGGTATTAGAATTTGACTTTACGTAATTAGATAAGAAGGATGCCCATTAATATATTTTCCTCCCCGCATAAAAAGAGTACAAGAGTGACACGGTGAATGGTGAAACATCTGAAATCAATATTGGGTGCCAATTGAATCAAATCATCATACATTTGTTTATGTAAGCAAAAGTCTGGCATTCATCATACTGTGCTGACTAAATTTAGAACACGGAGGACCTAGTATGGGAGCTAAAAATACTTACTATTCTTGCTAATCTGAAAAATAAGTATACTTCCAAGCACACGACTTGTCCATGGCTCTCAACTGTGGAAAATATTTTCAGTATTCCTTTAATTAGTACTGAAAAATCATTGCATCACTCGTTGAAGTTAGAAGAAGAAAAAAAAATCATTTCATTTCATTTATTCTACCAGTTTTTTTATGATAGATGATTGAGTCCCACTTATTTTTACTTTTAGTGAAAGAATATTTACTATAGGAATAGTAAGGATGTGTTCAAACTGTGTATGGTAAATAAGAGTTAATGTTGACAATAATGTAATTAGTGATCAGTTAATTACTCATTCAGGTCAAGCTAGTTATGGTGGTCTGTTTCCTTGGTAATGGCAAGTATCTAGGGTTGGGGGTGGAAGGTTTCCACTCTCCAATTGTCAATCTATGCACACTTAAAATGGTTAGGTTGAATGAATCCCATTCACAAAAGAGATTGGCGAGTCCACTTAAATGAATGAACTGGCAATATCCACCACAAATTTCTTACAGGACAAAATTGGTTTGGTCCATCCCAGTCATCACCCTAAGATAATAAATTTTACTGAGGATTAAAATTAAAAATCTACTTAAGTGGAGAGATTATACTTTAACGTTTCTATGGTAAAGGTAGATAAATTATCTATATTCATTTTCAAAACGATGTTATTTTGAGTTGAAAGATTAAAAAATATAAGGAAAAAGATTATTATAATCCTAAAATAAATTATAATTATAAAAATATCTTGATTTCATCTCTATTATTTTTTCGGGAGAGATTATACTTACTATCTCTTCTATCAAATCTTAACCGTTAATTTTCGCCAATCTAACGATTATAATTTATGGAAAATTAATAATTAATTAATAAATATGATCCAATAAATTATAACCGTTAAATTGACGAAAATTAACGGTTAAAATTTAATAATAAGATATAGTAAAAAAAAAAACTCCCTCTTCTTTTTCTTATTATTTATAGTTATCAATCTTATTATCGTTGGATCAAAATTAAATCAACTCTTATCAAATTAGCATTAATTGAAAAGCGTTGATTTAATTTTGATACGATAAAACTAAAAAAAAACAATAGTAGATATAATCTCCACGAAACTTTATTATTCACAAAACAATGACCATGTTTGTCAGTTCTCATCCCTCACCTCATATAACATTTTTATGAGTACTTGTGGTGTTGGGATATTATTTTGTGCGGAGCAAAGAGAGAAGAGAAGAGAAGAGAGGAGGTTGTTTTGTTTGATTGAGATTGAGATTGAGATTGAGATTGAGAAGAGAAGAGAAGAGTGAGTTAATGATGGAAACCTTGGCCACATCTTCTTCTGCAACGCTACCATCTTCATCTTCTCCTTTTTCCATTTTCCCTTCAAGAAGATTATCCCTTTCTCCCAAGACCCTCCACTTTCGTTTAGCCTCCAAGCGTGCGTCTTCACCTCTCTCTCTCTCTCTCTCAATCTATCTTTTTCTTATTCTTCTTCTGCTTGATTTCTGATATTTTTGAGGATCATGCCCTCAGATTTCCTGATCTGGGTGATTTATTTCAGGTGATGATGATAACGATTCAGATTACCAATCCAATTCCAAGGAGATCATCGACAACAACAACAACAACAACAATAACAAAAACAATTACAACATCCTTCCAATTCTCAGTGATCGCCGCCTCTCCCTTTCCCCTCTTTCTAAAGTATGTCTTTTTCCTTTCCCAAAATTTCAACTTCAATCCATTTTTCAAAGGGTGAATTGCATTACATGTAATCAATACAAAAAATTTTGTTTTTTGTTTTCTAGTTTTAGGTTTTTTGGACCTGAAATTTTAAAGGGTCAATTGCATTAACATGTAATGGATGAAGAAGTTTTGTTTTTTGGTCTTGAAAATTATTCATTTCTGATAAGAATATTGTGGGGTCAGGATGCTGCGATGGGGCTGGTGCTGAGTGCTGCAGCAGGTAGAGGATGGACAACAGGTTCAGGAATGGAAGGACCCTCTGTTCCTGCGGGTGTTAGGGATAACGAATCAGGGACAGAGAACATCTCTACTTTCCCATGGTCTCTCTTCACAAAATCCCCTAGGCGAAGGATGCTTGTGGCTTTTACTTGTACCATATGTGGCCAGCGAACTACACGGGCTATTAATCCCCATGCTTACACTGATGGCACTGTTTTTGTCCAGGTAACATTTTTGTTTTGGTTAACCTTAACCTCCTATCATATTATATGTCTCAATAATTTTCTTGGACTGAATTTGGAACGAAATTGTGAACTTATGAGTGGGTAGTTCACTGGTTGGTCCACTGGGCAGAAAAAAATATACTTTGAACTTGGTTTTAACCTTTCAGTTAGAAAGGGAAAATTTAATTGAAAAGAGAGAGATTTTGTTCAGTGTTACTTGCTAGTATTGACTCTGGTCTGGATGACAAACTTAAGCTCTTCTTGCTTGCTTGAGTACTTGGGAGCTAAGAATGTGAAAATTGAGGATGTAAATGAGTTCCAACCATGAGTATACACAAAAATAAAGATTTTTTTTTTTAATGTTATACTAAACCTAGTGTAAAGTGATTTTTGTTTAACATTTTCTACTTTTATACTCTCAACCATCTCCACAATCTTTTAAGCTTGAATTTTCTAAGGAAAATGATATTTTTATAGCTATTTTGTTTATACAGTAGTATAATTCTTACACAGGGATTGGTTCAAGCCCCACTCAAAGTACCAACCATGTTTGTGGATCAATGTTTTTAGACCCGGGCAAGACAGGCGAAGTTTGGAACCGGTCCAAACTTGAATCAACCATTGAAAATTGTAAATTCGAAAACTGGGATTTGAACTGGGAAGCTAGCTAGTGAAACAGTTATGGTTTGGACTGGTTTTTTTTAAAAAAAAAAATATATATATATATATATATATAACTATTTTTTTATTACTAAAGTACACTTTTTGATTCTCAATTTATAGCTAAAATCAGTATCTTCCTTATTAACTTGTCCTTTTCCAATGTGGACAAACAAGGAGTATGCATTGCAATTGCAACAATGGTTTTGCCTCTTATTTGTATTAGAGTTTTACCTCTCCCTTTTTACTTATTCGATGTGAGACTAACATTGAATTAGAAGTTTTATCCTTTCACTCTTGCTTACTAGATGTGCATTTCCATATATTAGAGGAAGAGACTTGTTAGTTTAGTACTTGTAAATTTAATAATGTTATAACTTGTGAATATGTGCAAAATCCTGTTCAACCCCCATTGAACTTCAAAACCTTAAAACTAGTTGTAAAAACATTGGTGTCGATACTGAGGAGGGACAAATTCCTATGCTGGAAAAGGGATGTAAAGAAGTAGTGTAAAAAAAAAAAGTGAGAATATCATGTCCAATTTCTAATGGGGATGGATGGAAAGAACGCTGACCTTTTTTTTTATCATTGTTTGTAGTGCTGTGGATGCAATGCGTATCATAAGCTCGTGGATCATTTGAACTTGTTTCAGGAGACGAATTGCTATCTGAATTCAAGTTTTAATTATAAAGGACATGGATGGGATGATCTTAAGCTCAGGTATATGGACATAGATGACGAAAATGATGATATATCCCCATTTCATGAGTGAGTTGCCTGGTTATGAATCATATAGTTTCTGTCTGATCATATGGAATTTTAGATTTGGTGGCTTGTTTATTGTTTAGGTTTTCATGCTTTATAGTAAAAATTTGTCAGAGACAGGATTTGTTTGTATAGTAATATGTTTATATAGGTTTGAAACTCATTTCTATGATCATCAATTTGATAATGTACAATACATTACATAAATATTTCCTTTGCTTCTCTACATTCTTGAGATCATTAGGCTAACATTGGGTCTGTTTGATTGTGTTCTGGTTTTTTTGTTCTTAAAATTGTTTTGTATAATAGTTAATGAAATAGGTGTTTTCTATGTTTTTATTTTGTTTTGAAAGTTAAAAGTCAAAACACAAAACAAAAACAACTCCGACATGTTCTTTAAATTTGATTTTAAAAACAAAAAAAGTTACAATTTTTATTTTTTTTACAAAATAGGTCTTATCAAACGGATTTTTTTGTTTTTTTATTCTAAAAATCAAAAAACTGTTTTTCGGAATAGATTTCAAACATGCCCATTGTTTTTGACTTTCTGTCATTGGTCACTAGGCTATCTCTGACAATTCAGCCATTATTATTTATCTCCCACCCTAGTCTTTTTCCATTTTATTTCCCTTAAAGTTGATCGCATTAGTGACAATGCAAATACACATTACTGTATGTTGGCAAACTACACGAGGAATTCTCGGTGCTTGTCCATTCCAGGATTCCCAGATGATTTTTAATCTTTCACTTCAAATAACTCTCAAACACATGCGTGAGCTGATAAGCATATGCTTGTATCACTATGCACTTTCTTGAAACGTTTGGATGTCTAAGGATGAAATAAGCTATAGTCAAGAGGTTGATGCGTAAGATGTTTCTTGGACACTTGGTTTAGATATACCCCACCTTTTAAATAGAAGAAACAACAGAAAATCGACAAAAAAACAAGAGGGCGAAAGGGACTTCTAGTTGAATGATAATGTAAGGAAGCTTGTGATATAGATGTTGCTGGCTTGGGCCATAAGACAACCAATCATGGTTTTGCTTTATGAAGTCACTTTTTTAGTAGCATGCATGCTAACTGAGTTCTAAAAATGAATCCTTGATTTAACCTCAACTCTGGGAACAAATCTTCAATACTACCGTGTAGTTCAACTCTGGGAACAAATCTTCAATACTACCATTGATGGAATGTCATTGGAATGCACATGACAGGAGTACTGAATATTTGTTTCAAATTTGGGCACGGCCAATTTTCATCGTGTTTTTTTTCTTCCTTTCACTGACTCTTGCTCTTCCTTTTAATCATTACGTATTGTGTCTGGTGAATCATTTTCCGGGTTAAAAAATATAAATTATTAAATGGAATGTGAAATACTTATTTAATCATGATCATAAAAAATATTTAATATTTTTTAAAAGTAGTTATAAGTATTTAATATTTTATTATACATTTCTTAATTAACTTTTTAAAGACCACAAATTAACAAAGTTCTAGGTACATATCTGTGAGAAATACATTAAGGTCGTGTTTGGTTAGGGAGAAATTTTTTAATACTAGAGAAATGTAAATACTAGGGATCTGTAGGAAAAATGAGTTAGATAGGAAAATTTTAAAAAAGTTGTTTGGTTGGGCAAAATTTTACCAGGAAAATTGAATTAAATTTCTGAATGTGTGTTTGGTTGAAGATAAAATATTAATGGAAAACTTAATAAAATTACAAAACTATCCTTGTAAAAACAATGAGGGGTAGTCCACGAATATCATTTGGTCACGTGTGGTCAACAATGAGGGGTAAAGTTGTCATAGTTTTTATTTTACTTTTTCACTTATCCGCTTTTCACACAAATACCACCATATCAGACGGCTTTGTAAACAGTGTTTTAGCAAGTTTTTTACTTGTTTTCGTGGATTGCTATGCAAAGCCAATTGACGGACAAATATACAGAATTGCTTCTACCAAACGTGGGTTTCAGCAATCCCACCTGCACTTTGACAGACAAATTTTTACTTCTCTCGAAACAAACACTACTTAAGGGCTCGTTTGGTGGATAGGATAAGGGTATGATATGATAATGGGCTGATAAGGGTAGGATATGATATGGGGCTGATAAGTCTATATCATGTCCTGTGTTTGGTGAACACCTGATTAACAATCTGATAAGATTATGTAGAAGGAGAAAAGAGAAAGAAAAAACAAAATATAATGCAATAAATACAAATATATTGGGTAGCGTGGGGATATATTGGGTATCCAATATTGGTATCCTATCCTGTTGAATCTTAACTCAGCTCCTCCCATAAGATAAGAAATCATGTATTGGATAGGATAAAATAAGACAATAGAATAAGCTAATCATATCCTATTGACCCACCAAACAAGAGATAAAAGTAGGATATGATAAGTTATCCTATCCTATCTTCTTTATCAGGTGCTCCAAACAGGTTCTAAGTGAAAGCAAGAATATTTTAATAGAGTTTCTCAAATGTTTGATGACTTATTAAACCTTTTTAAGCAGTTGTTCTTAGCTCTGTCTCTTCCTGTAAATTTATCACGCCACATTTTCTAGAGGAATGTGTGCTTGCGGGTTGGGTTTATCTACACGAATACGATATGATATTTCAATTAAATTAATTTCTTGAACTTAGTTTCAATTCAGTCATTGCTTGAGTAATGATTAAGTTAGGACCAGATTGACTGATGTTTAAATAAAATGTACACATTAAAATATAGTGTATAATAAGTTATAAAATATTTGAAATGAATCAAAACCACTGAAGCTCAATTCAAACTAAACTCAAAAATACATTGAGTTTAATTTTTAAGGCTTAAACCTGGCCTAATTAGAATTGGGACAATTTGGGTTATTGGTCGGGTCATAAGCGCCCCTATGTTTTGGAAATTTTCTCCGAGTCCTTTTCATTCCATCAGGATTTATATTAACGAAGTTCTGTTACAACTGAAAATCGTAAACTTGAAATTCAAAATATTGAAAATAATTGGGCCAAAGTGTTTGAGTAACCCACATAGTCTACTAAAACATTGGGCCGCCTAGTTGCTGTCTTTGGACGTAGCCCCAAAGTCACCCTTTGTTGAAGTGGGCCCAAACTTTTATCCAATGTTACACTTACACACACCTAAAGGTAAATGTTTAAAAAGGACGAGATAAAAATATCTAAATTTAAGTAGGTGAATAAATATTAATCTGACCCCCCTAACATAAACTCAAAGAATTAGATGGATTATTTATTTTAATGATATTAAAATAAATAATCCACGTTTTTTTATATAAAAAAAAAAACAACTTAAACATCAATATCAATTACTACATTCACTGTTCAAATTCACATACTTCAATAGTCAATCATCCATAACATAAAATATAAAAATTACGAAGTCCTTGACTAATGTCTACAAAAGCATGTATCAAACATGCAATGCTACCTAGAGGAACCTTGGGAAAAAAATATAATAGCTAGAAATATAAACGTAAGGCTAAGTGTGTATACAAACAGGAACTAATATTGCCAAATTTGAAAGGCTAAGTAACCGACCATATCCTATTGCTCATAAATACGTGCCACATTTCCTCTTCAATATTGCAAAGAAATATGTGCTTTACCAGTTGGTTCACCTTATCATTATTTTTGAAAACCAACTTCGCGTTCTATTTTCTGTATTTTCCCATGAAGTGTTCTTGATCCCCAAGCTTCAAAGCATGTATTTTATAAGTTATCGTCTGATAGGATATGAACAACAATTTTGCTGATGCAAAATGAAGCGTGAAGTGACTATGTTTGTTGCTTGTCAGAGCAAATAGTAGTTCAGACCAAGGTATCCGTGCAGCTGTTACTGCTAATTTTGCCACCAGCAATAGGAGGAACAGCATGGATCATTAGACTCTGAATAAATGCTATCATCTGAAATACAATGTGTGATAAGTTAACTGCATGACCAAGGAGCGTTGGAAGAACTAATCTTAAACTTTAAACCACTCCCCGTTAAACCCGACTAGCAAGTGTGGGGTGGAGGAAATCCTTGTACGCAGCCTTACCCTTGCATAATTGCAAAGAAGCTGTTTCTTGAATTCGAACTCATGACCTTTCAGTCATGAAGGAACAGTTTTCCCACTGCTCCGGTTCGCCCCCTTTGGAAGAACTAATCGAACACATAATAATGAAAACTTTAAGCAGTCAGTAGATGAGCCTAGAGAAATTGGGGTTGGCTCCCATGTTAAAATTTCACAACATGTGAAATTGTTGTGTTTATCACTCTCTCTTTAGTTAGAAAAATTTAATACATACGAAGAGAGAGATAAACATAAAAATTTCACATGATCAAATGATGTGAAATTTTAATATGATCCACTCCGAGAGAAATTTCATCTATGATCATGAGCCCATGCTGCTATAATTGTCCATACAATAATTTAAGAAGGTTTCTTTTTCTCAGGGTTAGGAACATTAAGATTATGTGGTTCCCTGTGTAATGAAATTAGACAATAACTAACCCTCACTAAATGCTGGATCTTTAGTGGGGAAGATCATCTTACCAGTGCTAGGCCAAGGCACATTATACTGAAGCCAGGAAAATTAAAAGGTGCTTCTTCCGACAGGAATAAGGCTGCATAAGATGGAGAAGCTTATTAATATCTAATTCAGTAGTACTATATATGCCCTTAGAATTTGGTCCTAATTAATAGTTATACCTGTCAGTGGACTGAAAATTAAAGGAGAAATGATGTTGGCTGAGGAACTAATTCCTGAAAGACATCCTTGAACCATTCCCTAAATCAAAAACTGATCAGTTACACTAAAAGCCAAAGGTAGAGAAAAAATTTAGTATCAGTTCACAATACTATATAATCTTAACTTTCTGTGAGCATACTTATGAATTGTGTTAATCTAAGTCATTTTTTTTCATTAGGGAGTGGATACCTGTTCAGTAGGTCCAACTTGTTTGGATGCAATGCTGCATATCTGCGGCAACCGCAATGTTACAGACATATCAGAGTACTATTTGAATGTAATAAGTCAATTCCCAAGTAAGAAACTTACACTTGGCCGCACAATAACTCCTAAAACAGAACAACCTGCTAGAGCATAAGGAACCTGCATGGTTTTCAACAGTCTTTTGAGGATTGTTTTAAAAAGATATAAGCATATAACAAGGTCTTTGAAGAAAATTACCCATGCTGACCACGATATGCTGTAGACAAAAATCTGCATAGCATCATAATTGTGAAACGAATTTAGTTTCTCTATGCTCGATCATTTGCCATACACTTGTAGTGTTTACTTATAATATACTACTAACATGGCATATTATCATGCCTTCAAACAAGAAATCTTGGGGAGAGTGAGGCTTGCACTTACACTTATGCAGCTAACCAAGAGCCCTGTCGAGAGCAACTTCTCCTCTCCTATATTAGGAACTAAAATGGGCATGACAAATAGCTGGAAAAGGGAAATCCAAGCACACAAAACCAACCAGATGGCTATATATTAAAATGTGTCATTAGAATAGTATCATTTCCAATGTAATTTAGGGAAACTGAAAAAGTTTAATAGATTAAACAAAAAATCAAAATAACAAGCAGTTATATTAGGACTTAGGCTTACTTGTGTAAGTGTTGCTCCAATCCCATTAATCATCATCAAGTCAGCAAACTGGTTCTTGTTGAATTGAAAACGTGCCTTTAAATAATACTGCATATAGTGGGAATTTTAATTATTTACAGAAAAAAAAATTTATAAAATTCTGGTTGGCACTAGACTATATTAGATTGGCCATAATGCGTTTGCTCGGTGGATTTTGGTATTCTTATTGCACAATTTAAAAAAATTTCTTTACTCCAACTTCAACTGTTATCACATTTTTGTTACCCGAATGGATATAAAGTAACTTTTATTTCAAATTCTGTACAATAATTTAGATCCTTGATTATCCAATATTAATAAGTTGTTGCTTGTTCTTTGAACTATCTTTTGCATCTAAAATCATGCTATCTCATGATTTGACAATCTTCAGTAAAGACAGTAATAATTTACCAGCAATATAGCCATCAAGCCCCCATCTGCAAGACTATTGAAGAACAAAACAACTGCTGCTTGTGAGAATGTGGGGCTGCAAAAACAAAGCGAGTAAGATCAACAACTCTCCTCAGATAAGTGCTAGAATTGGTACTACAAAGAGATTTTGTTGCCCTCAATCTATACACCAATACAAGATGCATTTCTACACTACCTTATTACATACCTGCACTTGAGCAAGCAAATCAAATCCCCCACTGAAGGCAGTTTCTTAAATGTTCCTGTTGTCCTTCGTGATGAATCATCCTCATTCTGTTCAACACGTGATTCCTCGCCCTCTTTCAATAATGGTTGTTTCATGCCACTACCAGGTACACTTTCCTTAAGGAAAATTCTCATGTACACCAATGCAATCATTGATAAGACAGCAGCAATCTGAATAAACCAATGCAGGAAAATAAGAATGGGGGTATGAACTAGCACAAAAAAGTAGCAGCATACTAAGAAATATAACAACTATGTAGAACCTGAAATGTTAAATCAGTGGATAAGAACCGAGCAGCTAAAGTTCCAACAACGAATGATGCTGATCCAACACCAGCAAGTATTCCAAATGCTGATGCTCGTTTCCCATCTGAAACCTTATCTGCCTAATAACAACATCAAAATGCTAATATGTTATAATTTTAACCAATATGTTACTTGCTAAGAAGCATGCATTTTACCTTTGAGTGACAGTGTTGTGTGTGTGAATGTGTGTATCAGCTCAGTTTATAGGGTCATACCACATATGCAAGAGCCAGGCAGTGGAAGGACCCTTCGCCTGCCATGGCAGCTAGAATTTTCACCACATAGTAGGCGTAGAAGAATTTGGTACTCCTGCTATATGCCAATATGACTGCAAATATACCATATTCATTTATTTTATTTGTATGTAGCCAATCAACCCTCACATATGATATATTAGGAACAACTTTTGAGCAGAGGAAGCATACTTTTTATTTAACATTATTTTAACACTTTTTTGTGATAACTTTTGATTTTAACCATTATTCACTAACATATTTCAAAGTTACCTAATAATAATGTGTTAAAACATATATATCAAAAAGGATAGGTTATTCTACTCTCTTTTTTCTCAAACACTATTAGATCATAATCTCAATATGAGAGAGAAATGATAAAGATAGTTGAGATTATGATCTAATTATGTTAGAGAGTGATAGACAAAGATAAACAGAAAAAAGAGATAGATAAAATAACGTATCGCAATATAAAAATATGTGTCGCTAACATTTCCGCAATATTTGTAAAGAGTTGTAAATAAGGAGACCAAAGATCAGCGTAGCTTTTGCATATCTTAAATGGGGTATGGAAGATATTTTGTTGTCTGTAATATGGATGAAATTAGGCTCCCCACAAAAGGAACACAACACACTCACGAATTTTTCAATTGTGCATTCCTTACAATGTTTTTCTTTTGAAAAAAATTGATCTTCTCGTCCAACAAAGAAAATTTATTATATATCATTAATGAATATTATTATTATTATCTTAGTTATGTAAAAAACATTATTGTTTTTGCTTAAACTATATTTTTAATTTTATAATTAAAGCGATACATATTAATCTTTTTGTTTTGAAAACACTTAAAAGAATTTATTTATATTTTACAAAAAAAACCATGAACTTGATGCATCCATTAGAGTGCACCAAACTAATAAAATATTAAAACACTACTAATTATTATGATAATTAATTATTAATCATAACAATTAATTACAAATGATGAACTATTTCTTGGGTCCTCAACAAAAAATGACGGGTCCATTTTAATCTCTCAGAAAAAAAATTGACTTGTGATTTCTTTAAAATTCAAAATAGATCTAGTTAGTCGAAATCGTAGTTCATCTGATATTCAAAGAAAACACGCATTAATCCTTTAAAATAACTAACATGAATCTATTTTGAATTTTAAAAGGATTACGAATTTTTTTTTTTAAAAAATTTAAAATAAATGTCATAATATTCGTTAAGCTCCTAAAAGATACTTATTAATGATGTGAAAGTTGAAACTACTAGTAGACGTAACTTTAATGGATCGTGCTTTTGCAATAATTTTTTATTTTCTGTGATAGTGAACGAGAAAATAGATGCATAGGAAGTGGCGTCACGTTTCAGCATCCACACAGCAAGTGCTTATGTGGGAACCGATGAATTGACACAACTTGGTGTGGTGGCTGTATGCCCAGCCATTACTAATTTAGTATACTAAACAGAAATAAGTGGAAATTACAATTTTATCTTTCTCAAATTTTAGAAAAATTTTAATGTAGAGATATCATATTGTTATTATCAATTAGTATTATTGCAATGTCACTATAACTTTATTTTTTCGTTAAATTGATTATGTTGATCCAACAGTTCTGATTTACTTTCTAAAATTCTTCTTTCTTCTTCTTATATTTAAAATTTATATTTATTTCTATCTTTGTATAGTTATGATTTATCATATTTAATGCGAAAGCAAAGTATTAAATATGGAGAATCATAAACATACAAAGATAAAAATAAATATAACCGTTGGATCAACATAATCAATCTAATAATGAAATAAACTAGTAGTAATATTGATAGTAATAATATCCTATCTCTTTAATGTATATGAGTATGAAAATGAGTCTTTTCATATTTCATTTAAAATAATTAGTTCATACAAGAAGATCTTATATATTTATTGATAAATTAATAATTTTTTCCTTATTTTATGTTTTAATTATTTTCCATTTTTCTTCATTGTTAAATTATTTATAAATAACTAAGACTGTCTCAAGATTTAATTACATTAAATGATAAAAAAAAATTCTCATATAAGGAGAGGGGAGGAGAGTAAATTATCTTCAGTATTTTCCTAATGCATCACTTCCTAAAATGGATGAAAACAATATACTTAATTATATTTATTCTATTTCTCCGTTATAGTTAATATCAATTGGGTGCCACCTTTTTATAATTTTTAATAAAGGTACTAATTACGTGTTTAAAAATTTATTTTATGTGTAAGAGACTCTATGGTAAAAAATTTCTTTAATAAATTATTTTTTTTTTCAGAAAAAATGTTTAAAAATAATCAAAACCAAACGTGCAAATAATAAGCATAGTCACAGCACAGTACACATACCTTGAGGAATGACCGACAATGTGAGGGGAAGTGTGAGCAAAGCTTTCCTGCCATATTGGTCGGACAAGTTCCCTATTAATGGCGTCATCAATACTGATCCCACTCCACTCATCTGCAATATCCACAACGAATTCACAATAACAATTATAATAGGAGAATATTATATTTAGAATTTTTTTTTTTAAAAACTCTTATAAACTAAATTAAGTATGATCGGTCACACTTTGATCAATAATGTATGATCAGTTATATTTAATATAATTTGTAAAAAAAAATTATAAAGAGATTCTTCCTCCTTATAATATCACTCATCGCTTCTACGTTGATGTGATGTATCTTCTTTTTCTTTTTTCTTTTTCTTAGTTTGATGGATCATAAATGGCTTTTGACCCGTTGGTTTAGCACTTTAAGTGAATGCGCATATAGTCAAAATATGCTTACCTGAGCGAAGAAAAATAGAAATATGGTCGTGCATGGTCCCCAAAAGCCACAATAGAAATGTGTGCTACTGATTTGATAATATATTTATTGTTTCGGGCCACTGAAATTGAGATATTTGGGTACTTTATATTAAGTTATGTATTTAATTTTTATTATTGTATAAAAAAATATTTATTGTTTCAAAAATTAATAGAATTGGTAATTTCGGATAGGCATATAATTGTGTCAAAAGAAGAACACGTAGAAAATTAGATATTATCGAATAGAGATCGTGTCGAATTTCTCGAACCTAATTAAATAAATAGTTAATCGAGATATTAAGTGATTAAAACAATTTTATTAAGTAGTTTGATATACTAGTTACTATTAACTATAATACTATATCTCTATGTAAACTTATATACTTGCCGACTTTTCGTACTGGATAATTGTGAAATATATGTTATACTATTGGTTGAACGAATTTTGTTTTCTTGTGCAAGAAGATATCGAATATAAACTGTGTGAACTAAAGTGTATCAACTGTAATAACCAGATGAGTTTAATATATTTTAACCAAGTCAAAAGTTGCAACTTTGTTTGTGATGCACACAATACAACTAAAAAGCGTAACTTAGGTAATTACTTGCACAGGAAAAAGTATGCTTATAAAAAAGAAACGTCATAATTTTGTTTTATGGTGAAGTCACTTTCAACTTACTAATAAACTTGTAAGTATATGATTTAAGCATATATATTTGTACTATATGATACAGGATATATTAATTATATATCTTGCAATTACAAGACTATGATTATTTGTACTTTTTTTTATATCTTTAATCATGTTCTCCTATATATTAAAAGAAAAAAAGAAATCTCATATTATGTGAGAATTCTAATCTCATGTCATATATACAATAAGTGTGGAACTCATCTATTTAAAAAAATAAAAATAAAATAAAATGTGGCACATTTTTTTATAATATCTATAGGAATGGTTTGTTTTCTCCTATTGTATAAGAAAAACAAACCCCATATTAAAATACTATGAACCAAATAAAACATGCAACCTAACCAGCTGAACGCTACGTGTATTTTTTACTTCATATGGCTTTGTATTAATAAATAAATGAAGAAATAGTGAAATAAATAAATAAAAAGAACACAAGTCATATAGTTCAAAAACGAATTTCATCTTCTACAGAAAGCCTTTCACGCATGATAGTTAATGCAATTCTCTGAATAATAAGATTTTTATCCATATATATTTGGCCTATGAAAGAACCATTTTAGCTAGACAATGCAGTTTTTGAGAAGAGCATGCTACCCAGAAAGTGCAAATTGAAATGGACGAAATACAAAATACTAAGACAAGAGATATAGTGTGAGAGAAATTGGTATAACTCACAGCCTGGAGGAAGCCAGTGAGGTAAATGGCAAGAGAACACTGATCTTGACCAGGGCAAAGTGCAGCCATGGTCACGTCTGTGATTGCTGGCATAACAATGACACCACCAAAGCTTGTCAGAATCATTGTTACAAAAAGGTGGCTAAGCCCTGTTAAGCCTTCCATCTCCAGCGTTGGAACTTGAAATTAAGAATTAAGAGTAGACAATAACTTTGTACTACAAGAATGTCCGTTTTGCTCAATATATGTATATTTGGTTCGGTTGCTTCTACCTTGTAAGTTGTACCCAAATTGTTTGTGATCGATTATAGTGAGTGAGTGAGTGAGACAATCAGAGAGAGAGAGAGAGAGAGAAAAAGAAGATTCCAAATGTCCTTTCAGATGTTAACTGCAACACTACCAAGGAAAGCAAAAGGACAAAGGTGACGTGCCTTCGAAGGTGCTGTATGTATGTATATATGGAAAGTTCATTGTTATTGGGTTTACCGTATTATGTTGGCTTCGACAAAAGCATTGTTTTTGTGGGGAACAATTGCATGCTTTTTCAAAATGAGACCTTCGCGTGTAAACATCACGTTTGGCTTTTATTTTCAACTCATAGCGTAAGATATTTCTTTCTATAATTTCTCATTTAATTTGGTTTATTACTACTTTATTCTCAATCTCATAAGTCAGCTTATAGTCTTTTAAAGTTGAAAAATAGGAACTTCAATTAAATTTTGAAATAGAAAGAAAGAGTATAAAAAAAGAAATATATTGCCATCAAACAAATTATTATCAGTAGTAACAACACTTGGTTACATGGTGGTAAATCTCGATTTCGAAGCCCTTAAAAATGGATAAGATGATCTTGAAAGAATTATTGATGATCCGACAAAACTCAAACTGAATTAATAAAAAAACAAAAAATGAATTGGAAGCGAAATTAATTCACAATTTACACACCCTACATACATATGCTTTGGAATTTAGCGACAGTTCAATGTTCCGGGTGTGTGGAATGACATTTGCACTTTCGGCTCTGCAAGAAAATGTTAAATATGGAAAGCTTTTAAAGTTTTACTTGAATCAAAAGTAAACATATTGTAATAAACTAAAAAATATATAGGAGAGAAAAATAATAAGGGGACAGGAAACACGTTAGAGTAGAATCGCCCTATAGACCCTGCCTATTATAAATACATATAACTCATTTTTTATTCCCCAATTTTTTACTTCCTTATTTTCACTTGGCCGGTTTTGAAGAGAATTTTGGGTCGCCACAATATTTTAATGGATTGAAGAGAACTGTTTAATTATAAGCTAATGGACAATGACATAATGATAAAGTGGCTCACTTGGAGTGAACGATACTAATAACGTCCATGATTAAACTTAGTTGTTCACTGAGTTATCCAAAATCCCGCATAAACAAATAAATAGTTCGAGATATGTAGGGCCTACTGTTTTATGTTCTTTAAAATAAGTTTTGGTTTTCAAGAACTAACATACAATTTTTTTTTTGTTTCACTAGCTACCTGTATTTTATCCGATTGTTTTAAAAACGTATTTTTCATAATTTATTTTTAGAATAGAAAAAATTATATTTTAATTATTTTTATTTGTGATAGGTTATTCCACCTATCATTTTTTATGCCTACTGATAAAAATAATGCAGAAGACACTTACGCCACGTGGATTATTTATGTGCCAACTATCTTATGTTAATTAGTTGGAAGTAGTTCCTATATTTATGGAAAGTTAGTTTTAGTTAGCTTCTTTAGCTTTGTTTATTTGAGAGCTCTTTGCTCTTTGTATAAATACATCACTGTATCATTCAGATTAAGCGTGAATAATCATTACTTCATTTTCATGTATCTTTTGAGTTCTTTGGATCGTAATATGGTATCAGAGCTCTAGAGAGCTCTGGTATCGCAACCTTTTGAATTTTCTCAGCTTTTGTTGAAGCATTCTTCAGTTTTCTCTCTTCTGTTCATCTTCAATGGCGAACCAGAGCACTCTCCCAGATCACTTGTCTAATCCAGCGAACTCACTATACCTTCATCCGAATGAAAATCCTTCCTTAGCTCTTGTAGCTCCTCCTTTGAATGGACGCAACTTTCATACCTGGTTGCGTGCCATGAAAATGGCTTTACTCTCGAAGAATAAGCTTTGCTTTGTGGATGGAAGCTTTCCTCCTCCTGACGATCAAGTTCCTCTGTTCCTAGCTTGGGAACGATGCAATACAATGGTATTGTCCTGGATTCATCGTTCCATAGATGAATCAATTTCGAAGTCCATTCTGTGGACTGAATATGCTACTGATGTGTGGCGTGATGAGCGATTCTCCCAATCCGATGTGTTCAGAGTTGTAGTTCTTCGAGATGAGATTCAACGTCTGCATCAGGGAGATAGAAGCGTTTCTGATTATTACACCGAAATGAAAACACTGTGCGATGAATATGACAATCTCAATCCTTTGCCAAGGTGCTGCTGTGGAGCCCTTGATGAGATGCGAAGTGGACGAGAACGTGATCAAGTAATCAGGTTCCTCAAAGGCCTGAATGATCAGTTCACACATGTCCGTTCACAGATTATGCTGATCCAACCATTACCTAACATGAACAAGGCATTTTCACTTGTTACACGACAAGAACGTCAACTTTACTCTGAAGTTCATGGATCTGTTGCCATGGAACCAAGAGCTTATTCTGCAGAGCAACGTCGTCGAAATGGTAACTTCAATAAAGAGAGAGGTCCAAAGCCACATGGAAATAGGTTGTGCACGTACTGTGGTAGAACCAATCACACAGTGGATACATGCTATATGAAGCGTGGATATCCACCAGGTTTCAAATCGAGGCCTAGAAATTTTGTAAATGCTTCTGCAAATGCAGTTCTTGGTGATGAAAGAACTGAACGAAATGAATCCCAGGATGCCATGATTATGACTCAACAACAGTATCAAAATATAATGAACATCTTGCAGCAGACAAAGGTTCACAATGGAGAAGAAGAGAACTCCAATAACCATGCTGTCAACATGATTCACACAGCTTCCACTACAGCCTATGCTACTCTTACAGGCACACAAAATTCTGGTAATACAAATTTTCATTGGATCCTTGACACTGAAGCAACGAATCATATATGTTGCAATTTATCTCATTTCACTTCTCTACATGATATTGATCCAGTTTCAATTACTCTTCCTAATGGTTCGAAAATTTTAGCTCATCATTCTGGATCTGTTGAAATATTGCAAGATATGCATTTTCCTGATGTTCTATCTGTTCCAAATTTTTGTGTTAACCTGATCTCAGTAGCAAAACTAGTTCAATCCCTTGATTGTGAACTTATTTTTCGAAATTCTGTTTGCTGCATTAAACAGATCAAGTCACAGCAAGTGATTGGTTTAGCTAGACTATGCAATGGACTGTTTCAATTGGAAACATACAACAGCAGGAAGTTGGAAGAATTCAATACTTCTGGTAGTGGATATGCAAATAACACACTCACTGATGCCTCTACATTGTGGCATTTGCGATTTGGACATGCCTCAGACTCTGTATTGAGAGCAATGTGTAGTAGATTTCCTTTCATAAGATGTAATAAGAGTAGTACTCCCTGTGACATGTCATATGGCAAGACAAAGAAAATTGCCATACAGTGTGAGTACAACTAGAGCTTCTAAAGCTTTTGAGCTCATCCATGTAGACATTTGGGGACCATGTTTTGTTCCTTCTCTTACTGGATACAGATATTTTCTGACTATTGTTGATGACTACTCAAGATACACTTGGATAGTTTTAATGCAAAATAAAGGAGAAACCAGGAAGCATTTACAGAACTTTGTTACACTGATTAAAACTCAGTTTGGTGCATCCATTAAAACAATAAGGAGTGACAATGGACAAGAGTTCTATATGAGAGACTTTTATGCTAGTCAAGGAATTATCCACCAAACTTCTTGTGTGGAATGTCCTCAGCAAAATGGTGTAGTAGAGAGGAAACACCAACACCTCCTTAGCATAGCTCGTGCTTTGATGTTTCAAGCCAAAGTCTCTTTGAAATTTTGGTCATTTTCAATTCTGCAAGCTGTGCATTTGATCAATCGACTGAGTAGTCCTTTATTACAAAATAGCACTCCATATGAGCTTATCTATAATGCTACACCTGAATTAACTCATCTGAGGGTTTTTGGTTGTTTGTGTTTTGCCAGCACATTATCTTCCAGCATAAACAAGTTTAGTTCACGGGCTAGAAAATGCATGTTTTTGGGATACAATGATGGGACCAAGGGATATGTATTATATGATCTTCATTCAAAAGAAATCTTCATTTCTCGAAACGTGGTCTTCCATGAACACTGTTTCCTATTTTCTGGTCATGACAGTGACCTTAGATGTGATGATGCTCATGTCATGCCTAACTCTCCTACACCCTTAACAGATGACTTTTTCATTCCAAGTCCTCAAATCACTCTACCTATTCTTACCCGTGACTTAGCCATTTCTGATGGGACCACCCTTCACTCACCTTTATCAGACACTGTACCTATCTCACCTAGCCCAAACCTACTTCCTAATGAAAACCATCTCCCTATCTCACCTTTATCAGCCCCATACATGGCTGATAAAGAAAATGCTATGAATGTAGAAATTTCTGCTTTAGAACAGAACCATATATGGCATCTCACTGATCTTCCTTCTGGCAAGCAACCTATCGGGTGTAAATGGGTTTTCAAAGTGAAATACCATGCTAAAGGCAATGTTGAGCGCTACAAAGCCCTCTTAGTTGCAAAGGGATACACTCAGCTTGAGGGAGTAGACTTCTTGGATACATTTTCTCCAGTAGCCAAGATCACAACTATTAGAACCTTTCTTACAGTTGCTGCTACAAATGGGTGGCTACTAGAACAACTGGATGTCAACAATGCGTTTCTTCATGGAGATTTGAATGAAGAAGAGTATATGGAGTTACCTCCTGGTATTACATGCACCAAACCCAACCAAGTCTGTCGATTGCAGAAGTCATTGTATGGCTTGAAACAAGCCAGTAGACAATGGTATTCAAAACTTACTTCTGCTTTAAAATCCATTGGCTACACTCAGTCTGAGGCAGATCACTCTCTTCTCAATAAGTTGAAGAATGGTTCATTCACATCTCTTCTCATCTATGTTGAT